CATTGATAACGGATTGTCACATCGTGCAGCTGCAACTGGAAAGGAATTCTAACAAAACCTATCGTTATCTTCAAAGACGTTCATGTTCGAAAATGCCCATGCGTGGGTTATATCTTCAAAAGTTCTTGACATTTATTCTATAAATTAAATTTTCATCGAGATTCTCCGACAATTTGATCATAGACGGTTAAACGAAACATCGGTATGATATTTCTAACGGAATTAATAATAACGATAAGAAATGATAAGAATTCTTCCAGAGACGTGTCTTCTCGGTTTGTTGTCATTTGGTGTCACGAGAAAGGATTAGATCTTTGCGTTTGGAAAATAAGACATTAAGGGAGAAAAACTTGCCCTCGGCCTCTGTTAATGAAAGTAGAAGGGTACATAATGTAGGTATAATCGTTCCAATCGGGACGGTCCGAATGACCGTATGTCCATTATCGTCCTACGGTCTTGTTATTCGTCCCCCTTTAAGGCCGACTCGTCCCGCGTCCGTGACGTATCCGTGCAGCGTGCGTCCATGCACCGTCCATGCATGGAAATAGCGCCTTCTCCAATTTATATCGGAGTATGCATACGCTTTTGCATCGGTAGATACCGTATCGGTACGAATAAATCACGGACACGGGACGAATGTGTCCGAATATATTTCGGCCCTTACAGGCTCGCGCCTCGGATGCAGCGGCCATGTCTAACGTGCAGCCGGAGGTCAAGGACGGACACGAGGTTCAAGCCGAAGATTGGCGCGATCGATTACCAACGCAATTTCTCTCATTTTCGCATTATTTCTCTTCCACCGTGTTCTCTAAACTGGCATTCATGTGATTATCCGTGACCGTTTTTATTCTTGGTTGACATTACCATTTAATAAGTCGCAATCCCCACGATCGAGACCAAAGGGTTAAAATTACATTTTTCTCACCTTTTTAGATATTTGCATCTCCAAACGCGCCGTTTATTCAAATTTGCTGAGATCTACGGGCACAGGTACTTAGCTTGTCGTTTCCATCCTTTTCATTGAATAATTAGTAGTGCCGAATCTTCTCTATGTTTATTTCACTTTAAAGTCATCTAATTATTTGATGTCACTTAAAGCCGTAGCCGGATAAGCATGGTCGAGTCGCCCCCGCTTGAATTTGGTACATATTGTGGAGTTATCGTTATAGGGCTAATTTACTCTATGTATCAACGTAAAAGAAATTGTTTTGAAAAGTTATTAAGAAATTGTGCAACATCAAGAAATTAATTTGTTTCCAAATCAACTTAACCAACTTTGATGAGTAAAATAGATCAATCTGACATTTATCGTTTAACCGATATATTGGTTACAAGTTTGCCAAACTTGTAACCAATTCGTTTATGTACGAATCCGAAAGTAATAAAATCCGTTGTGCTTTTACGTATTTGTCAACTTATGTTACTCATCCTTAAATATTCATTCAATTTTTCAAAGTAATAAGTATCGTTACATTTGTTTCGACAAGTGTTACAACGCACCTATATCGGTAGCAATTGTAACAAAGACATTCAGGACGGAAAATAAAGTTGCCAATTTTCCATGAATTTATAAAGCGATAAAACCTAAACGATCTTTTACCGAAAGATTTATTTAGTTCAACGAATTTGTCGGTGGTGATGAGCAAAATCGGTTTGCTCTTGGTCTTCCAAAAAATGCAAAAAACAAGAGCAAGACAAGTTTAGTACAAACTTCAATTTAAAAAAGAAAAACGTAAATTTTGTATATTTCATAGTAAGCTTTATTATATCTACTAGGTCTGCTAAATGTTTTAAACCTATAACAATAATTAAAATACACTTTTAAATGCAATGTAACAATTTACTACTTTTGCCCTGTAAGGGAAGTTGAAATAATTTGTTATTTAATTTTGTCAATTTACTCGATAAAGTTGAAAATCAAATGAAAAGAACCGTGTTGCTTATTCGTTATATATAAAGAATTAAAAATTCATAAAAATTTAATAAACATTAATTTCTAACCTACAAGAAGCCTTCATTTCTCTTGGACACTGTGACGAGTCGTGGGCCAAAGCTCGGACCACATGACGCGCACCAATGATTCGGATAGGGGCCGCGACGCGGCGCACGGGCCCCGCGAACGCGACGAGCAACCCTAGTTCGGACGGCGACCGGCGGCTCGCGTCTCCCGCGAGCGACCGTAGCCGGGCAGGCGTTATAAGACCGCGGGACGGTGACGAGACAACGCGAATTAGCTTTGGACTGTCCGACGAAAGAAGACGAAGCGGACGTAATATTTTATCATTTGTTTGAGGTTATTTTCTATTTTCTTGAAATTAGTGATATTACGTACAAATGAATTTATTGATTCGTTACTTAGGGACAGCTATTTGTTCTTATAATGATAATTTGCAACACCGAGAACGGAATGCATATGGTGGAAATACCAACGTCTTATCGCCACTTACGCGATATAACGGAGCATCAAAAGAAGAAGAAGAAAAGAATATCTATAAAGTACCGTTTTATTAACGTCGTAAGCCAAATATTTATTACTTTAACCCTTATCACTCCAACCGGCAGTAATGCTGCCAACTTCTAATGCTCCTCTAATATTCTTGGAGGGACAAGGGTTGATCTCTTTGTCATTACTGTACTAAAATGGCATCCGAAACTCTCCATTTCGTACAATCCTGAACATAGAGAGGAACGGACTTCAACATAAATACAAATATCGATAACGGGACGCGGCAGCTTAATTTTACCACTGAAGTACTCAAAATGTCGTTGCCATCAAAGAGGGTATAGGTGAATTTTCTCGGCGCCTTTCGTATCATCTAAAATTCTGCACCCCCGATCTTACCAGGGATACATTTTAGGGTGAGTCGCTCGTGGCGTCCCCGTCCCTGCCGGGGATGACGGCCGTCAACGAACCGCATCGTGACGGAAAAGAGCGGACGCGGGCCACGTGCGTACACGCTACGAGAACGTACGAGGAAGGGCCTACCTACGACGAGCCTGGCCAGGTCGCTGCCACCGGGGTCGCGAGCACCCACGGAAGGTCCACGTTTTTCGGCGCGTTTCTCTCTCCATCCTTCTCGCCGGGTCACTGCCCCGCGACTCTTCGCCCGTCCCGGGGCGCGATCGCGTCTCCTTTCCTTGACCCGGTCAGCCTGGAATGGAAAGCTTTTCGCGGCCACGGGGAGAGGAGCGCCGCTCCCACCACCGACGAAGGAAGCTCCGTCTTCCTCGTGGGGTGCGGGGCGGGTAAGCCTTGTTGCCGACCTAGAAATAACGCTCGCTTCCCGAATTGCGTCGACTCGGCTCGGCCCGACCGAGAGGGTCTCCACCCCAGCGCGCGTGAGGGCAGTGATCTCGCAGGGAGCACCGACCTGCCGCAAGAACCGGCCGGTAGTCATACCGAGCGCGCATTCGCAGCCGCGCATGATAAACGGCCGGCACGGTGGGAGGAACGGCCGGCACGGTGGGAGGGGGCCGAGCCAGTGCCCGGCGTTGCCGGTCCGCGGATTCTACCTGGTTGCCGGTTGGAGTCTGCGAGTCCCTTGAGCGTAGGACAGAGCCGTCCCAGCCTCTCCCGTCCTCCGCGAGCGGGGGACGCTCCAGGAGGATGCTCGGCGTCGCGTTTAGGATCCAAGGTTGTTAAAGTGTTCTTCGGTCTATTGGGATTGATGCTTTTAACAGGCTGTCGTGGAAAAAGATCGTTCGATGCGAAGGATGCACGAAACGTCTTCGGTCCTAGACGATTTTCTTCGTTCTACGTTTCGTTGAACTCGCGTACTGTATTATAATCGGTACGGTATTCGATTACGGGGACCTTTAACTACCGGTTGACCGATTTTGATCATTCTTTTTTTGTCATAAAGAGGCTTCTTTTTAAGGGTGGTCCCACGTAAATTTCGTCACGATCCGATCATAAAATCTGAAGATAGTCAATGGAAATCATGAACGGTTGACGGTAACCGTCCCGTCATGGAGTTCCTTTTTTCTTTTAACCGACCTCTTTTATTGACACATAATTACAACTTTGAAACTCTAATTGAACGATTAACAGCTGAAAATCGAAAAATAACAATTTTTTATTAAAAAAGTATACTTGAAAAGGGGCATTACAAAGTCAAAGATAACGACGTACAAACTACTTATCCAGTAACTACTGTAGATTTCTAAGTATTTGTTGCTTGGGAAGGATGAAGTCTGCGCAAAGAAACAGAAACAAACGGTAACGGAATATAAAACCGAAGACACCGATACGCCTCGTTTTTTTTTTTTTACGCCGACCTCAAACATTCCATGCAAAAACTACTCAGATATCTACAGTAGTTAGTAGATAAGTAGTTTCTACATAATAATTTTTTACTTTGTACCGTCTTTTTTAAGTCGTTTTTTTAGTTTTGTTGCATGTAGTAGCGTAATATAAGGTGTGAACGGAGGTTCATTAGGTAGACGCAAATTCACTATAATCTTGTACTCGGTGAGATTTTGTTTACACACGTAAATGTTTCTAAGAGGAGAAAAGAAAAACGGCATCATATCGCACGGCAGTAGTGTCATTGTCATGGCTATCGATCACTTATTCAAATATTGAAACAATTGAACATTGAAAAGGAAATGTATTTACATAAGTACAGTTTTCCCAGGTTGATGCCGTGTCTTCTGTCGTTTTTTGCCGACGTTTCTTAGATTGCAATTTGCGTTATTAGAACTATAGGCACTGAGTCTGGTATGCGTTCTTCTCGAAAGTGCTTTCTAGAGGATTGGAAGACCCTGACGGGTTCCCTAAGTGTCCGGGAGGGGGTGGACCAATCAGGTATTGTTTTCAAATTTAATTAGTCAATCTAGACCTTGAATAATATGCATTTACTACGATCGATTTGAGTTACATTTTCAAATAGTTATGCAATTTTTTTGCACAAAATAAAATAAAATGCATCTAAATTTGTTACATCTTGTTGACAGCCACACATGCCTCCTGTAGCATTGCATAGAATTGCAAAAGTGTATTCTCGTCGAATTTTCATGTTTTTATTCAGACACTCGGGTATTACAACAGTTTTAAATATAAATAATAACACATTTCGTTTCTAGCCTACGACGAATTGATATGCAATTTTGCATTCGTTATTAGTGACTGTAATATGAAGAGTTTTCTGTGAAGATGATTCTCAGAATTTTCAACTTTCACAAAGAGTGCCCCAAAATATTTAAATATACTAGTGCATTTTAATCAAATAAATCTCACGATATCTTCAGGAATGCACTATGTACTCATTAGACTTTCAACTTATCGGGCGAAATTGCATAAATAATGATAATAAAACAAATTCATGAATAGCTCATTACAGATATTATTATCGCCTTTTTCTTATTTGAATAAAATCTTAAAAATTATTAGAGTATACGCAAGAATGTTGCAAAAAGGTTATGGGATGTGATGTAGCGCAATGTTTACAATATTATTAAATATTTTCATTACGTACTTTTTTAACGGTTATGAAAAAGTGATCGAAGCAAAAATTTTATAGTTCCGAGAAGACAACGCATTGTGCATAACCGATACTTTATTTTCACATTTCTTGCGAATCATTAATTACTTTATTATGTAACAGCTTACGTTCGACGCGACTGTAATTTAATACACCTTTAGGATATTAGAATCGTGGTTCCAAATTAGAATCCTATTTTTCCTCCCAAGAAACGTTGTAAAACGAGTTCAAAGGTACTTAAACAATTTAAAATTCAGTAACAATTTGGATGAACTTCGCATGGTATCATTACTAATATTACAAACGTAATACGCATTCTGTAATCCGGAATCCATTAATCGGTTTGGGGTAGTCAAAACTATGGACTGACTCTGTTTTGTATCTAAAATACGTAATCAGATCTGCTATTCTTAATAGTCTCTTTTATTTACCTTATGGTAAAGAATCACTGGTAAATAAGTTAGAAAATAAGTGAATCGGTAAATTCTACAAAAAAATCCTTTAAATCGTTCACGTTGCAGGGAGTCTGAAGGATACACCGGTACATAAAACATACCCTGTTAGATAACAATACGGCATCTCCATTTTATCATTTTCTATATGAGCTGCTCCTTTTTTTCAGATTTACAAACCAAATAGAGTAATCAATTAACGCGAACACAACAACAAAACAAATACTAGTGGAGATTCCCTGTATTATCTGAGAATTACAAAATATTTATCCCTGCAGTAAATTATAATCGATGAATATCTACAACTAACTGAAGAACATTTAGTACGGTAATTTATCACTTTTTTCAAATGTTCAACGTTCTACATTCAAATGGTAATCAAGATTCGTTTATCGATCTGCACATCAGCAAATATCACAAATTTATTTTAAAAAACTTAACGATCCTTTCGCTAACAAAGGAATGTTTTTCTTGTCGGAATCCGGTTCAAATAAAATAAACCAACGGAAAATAAAATCACAATCAAAGATTTCAAACAAGATAACTAATTGTCAAATGTCTTTACTTCGTCCCTGACCCCGAATTATATTTATAATGCTGTAGTACTCGAAGATATAATGCATTGGATAGAACAGTTAGTTTTAAACAATAGCCACCGATTACAAAAATAATTCTTTTCTAATTGGTTTATATACTGATTTGTTGGTGCGATTAGTTAATAATATTGTACAACTAAAATAAGGTGAATATAATTCTGTTAAATGCTTTAAGGGGTAACGCCATCTTATGAGTCCTAAAACGATGTCTAAGTTTGGGACGGAACCGTGGCTAAATGAATAACGTTATTTAAATGAATGTAAGCGTGTTTCAACGGGTATATGGGTATGAGGAGTAAACGAATACTTTTTTTAATTTTTTGGGCCCGAAATCGCGGCGTGCTGGGTCATTTGCGGAATCGCCTTTTCTCGCGAATACAATTTTGCGTACAAGGTTTCTCCGTCACGCTTCGTTCTACGATACATACAACAAAAGAACCGTCTGCGGAAGTTCATCGAATACAATTAATTGGGAAAGAATTCATCGAAAACATAATTCAACCACCAGGCACGCGTTTCCAAGTAGCGAATAAGTTCAAATGCCAAAAAACCTGCGGACGCAACAATCCGACGACAAGCGCCTCCGCAACAAAGCGTTCCGACGATGAAACATTCCGTCTACAAATCAACGGCTGCGAAATATCCTCCCACGTCTTCTCTAGGGACCTTTTTTCGAAGTCCGTCCTTCTTTCTTTCCACCTTTTTTTTCTTCGATGCATGATCTACGGCCATAAGCTGATGATTTAGGTAGAAAACAAAAAATTGATTTGTTCAAACCTCCAAGGTGGCGTTACCCCTTAATGCACATGCTACCGTATTGTCTCATATTGACCCTGTGCATGTGGACATTTTGATAATTTTGATTTTTCTATTGCCATACCAAAGCTTCCGATCTCTATACTAAATAGATACCCCACTGCTACCCCAAAAAATGTCGTGACGATTTAAAGCGACCACGCACCTCGGATTACGGGCACGTCATCTAATATTTTAGTATTTCCCTCCTTCGGGAACACATAGGTATCGGCTATGCAGTTAGCATACGGATCACTGCCAACACTGCATATTATTTCCATACCGTCACAAATATGCATTACAATTTCACATATTTAACGATGTCGTTTCCGTAGAATTGTATAGAAAACAAATTCCGATACCCACAAATCATTTTGCACTGGTTTCATTTACTAGCTGGTATATCGCATGCAATACTTGCGCTTAATTAAGGACATTTCTTGACCTTGTAACAAAGAATATCGTAGTATCGCCGAGAGATTCACGTTTTTGACGAGTACATTTTATAAATGTTTTATAAATCATAGCCTTCAACTCGTTCGCTCCCAGCCGTCACATATGTGTGACGACGCATCGCTTTGTTATCCCTGTGACCGTGGTAGCGAACGAGTTAACTATTATCTTACCGATCCGCGAGTCGGCAGATGAACGATGCTCCGAATAATACAAGTAATATAAACGGTACAAATATTGTTATTAAGTAATCGAGGCTTGTTATCAGAGAGAATGTCGTTCCTCTCAATCCGTGCCCCTTGATAAGATCCACGCTTTTCAGCTAATAAGCTCTTGTGAGCGAGGTATCGTTAACTAATAGTCATGGAAAGGAGGAAGTGTTAATTTCACCGGTAGCGCACTGGGATAATAATCGAAATTACGATAACCGCAATTTCTAGAAAGCAGCCGTCTTCGTAAGTATTCTGCGAAACTTCGGTATAGTAGAACATCATTCTGGATCTCGTGACGTTAAGTCGCTGTAACGTCTAATATTATCTTTCGTGTTCTCTACCCGTTTATTTAAATTAAGTCAACGTGGTAATCTCAAGCAGTACCGTGATCGGTAAACCGTTGTTCAGAATACCGAACCGTTGAAGTGAGATTTCGATGGCAGCGCTTCATCTTCTGTTCAACTTACACCATAACGCACTGGCAGTAAGAAAATGCATTAAAATTCCAATTCCAACGATCAGCACCAAGTTGCTCACTACGTTTGTCTCGTTGATTTCCATTTCCTTTAAAAATTTCGTTGGTTTTCGATAATGACAGTAAATTTCGTCGCAATTTAGGTCCATTCTGTCGAAACCGTAGACCGTGTACAGTAGGCTGTGGAATCCAGCTCTAAAATAGGATATGTGGAATATCCATCGGAATGCAGCCGGAGTATCCATGTAACGTATACAAAATCCGAAAACGGAAAACAGTACAGCGATTATAGGCCCGGCAAACACAGCAATCTGGAATTAAATAAACAGGCCATGACTACAACCTCGGAGTAGATTAAAACAACCCGTAATGTCATATGAATCTTATACAAATTCTTTTCCTATACAATTTAGATTCAGGTTTAATTCGTGTAAATTAGCATCGACTGAAATCGGTACTGGTGCCAATTAAAAGATTCCCATTTAAAATGTGTATTACATATTTACCTTAACGGGTGTAGTTGCGCCGATGAAGAAGCCCCAAGCTTGTGCAGTTAGACTCGCAGCGATGCTTACGATCATAAAAGAAATAACTCGATGAGCTTCTATCGGCTGTCCAGTTAAACAGTAGCTAACTGCCAAATACGTAGTCGCACAAGCAGCTTGAAAGGGTATTTCCACCAACAGCATGCTAATATAATATGGTCCTAACTGGTACCAACGATTGAAGTGTTCCCGCGTCAAGATCTGCATTTCTAGTGGAACTGGAAGAAAAATCAACCTTACTCAAACGTCGCACAAAGCTACTATAAATATATATCATATACGTATCATTCTTGTCCAGGGTATGTACTACATTTAAAAAATCGATATCTATAATAAATATACATATAGAGTTATTGTATGCATTTGTCTCCTGCAGATATTGACACGTATCTACTCAAGCGTCGCATGAGAGTCAATCTATATATAAATCGCAACCCCTGATACCGTGCTCAAAGTTTTGGTCCGAAATTCCTTTCGCGATTCAGGATTCATGAAAAGTGAGGAGTGGTGAATGAAAGTCCTGTTTTTATGCAGAGGTATAACGTGGAATCTAAATAGTTTCTTTCGGGGGGAATTCGCAAAGTCCCTGTACTTGGCCAGATTTCTTTACACGATCGTGTTTTTGCAGAGGTCCATTTTTTAACCCAATGGGAACTGAATATTTGACTTATTTACGTGGTAGATCGATTCTCCTTTTTAATGTTTGGACAATTATTATTCCCTGGATTAATATTTACTTTTGGAGGACGTTTATAGATTTAGCGAAGTAAATAGGATATAATTACATGCAAGAGTGACGGCCATTTTTCCCGTGTAAACCACCAGCAATAGCGATCCATACAGATAGGCATAATTCGCAAGTACACCATTGGCACGGTAACCGCTTCCTCTGTACAGGTAACCAAAGATTACGCCGATAAGAAGATGGCACATCAATCGAATCACCAACAGCGTATGATCTCTTTTCAAGGACATCAATTGACGTTTATAGAGAAGATAACACTGCGCTAGAAAGCCAGCAGATGACGGTGTTTCCTCTACGCCTGTAATCATAAATTACAACCCATCGGTAAGATTTTCTTCTTACAATGTAAATTACGGCCAATCAATTTCGTGATTGTTTTAATACTCGTCAAATATACTTATAACATGGCAGTAAAATATTTGTTCCCATCTTGGCTAAGTTCATGCTACAGCTCACAAAATTGTTTCGACGGTTCGTTTCATCGACCTCCATAAGGTTTGGTATATATTTTATTTTTTATGTAAAAATTGTGTCATTAGGTAACAAAACGTTTAAATTTCGGTGGCACCGACGGCACCTTATAACTGGGAATCCCTCTTAAAGCGATTGAGCAGTGGACATCGGAACGATCAGCGCGATAACGTTGTGTCGTCCCATCGGAAAAATGTTGAATATTTTTATCGTTGGACCCGTGCAACTCGAATAACTTGTGTATGCGAGTCTGGACCATATGCTTATCGGATCAAAAAGACATTGGATCAATGTATTAGGTTCGGTTTTCAAACTCGATAGCGACCGATCTTGATCATGCAGGAGGTATGCAGCGTGTTAACATCGGATTTATCGAACTTGTTAATTCGACAGATGTTATAGAAAAAACTAGCTTAAAGTGAAGTTAAACCCCCCTGAGATCGAATAAGACGCTTTTTTAAAGGATATTGGTCCGAACTGTCTGAAATTTGAGCACCTAAGAATTATCCTAACATCTCCAAAAAATTGATTTTTGAAAAAAAATTGTCTGGCTTATCGTTAGCCTAAGCCAGAACCAAAATGGTGTTCATCCTCTCATATTTCGATCAATATACAATTATTGAAAGCTCCGATATGAGAAACGAAAATATCTGGATAATTGACAATATATTTTTCTACCATGCGACGAGTAACGAACGTACACCTTTACTATAAAAATTAATATCGAAATCTTACAGTATTTTTCTTGCTTCGGAGCAGGTGAAATCTCCTTTTGATCCTTCCACATCTTTTGTACCGCCAGGACCAATTTGTCAACGGTAACTCCGTAATCGCCGATTGCGACTTCGAGCACTGCAATAAGATGTTTTATATGTATATAACAGAAATGCTTGATTATATTATCTCCAAACCTTTGTACCGGACAACAAAAGTTACTTAAATTTGTTATATTGGTCCAAATTTCTTGAGCAAAGAAGACAAAATTACATATTTTAAAAATAACGAACCATCTTCATTTTCAACTACCGCTAATTGGTCAAGGATATGGCTATACTTGATTTTTGATTCATTTCGTCTAGATTATGGTTTAATAACTTAAGAGAGGCCTACATGTAACAAGCGTGTGAACTTTTCAAAACATTCCTCTAATTTGTGCTAAGAAGCGAAAGCAGAAAAAAGAGCGGACACAAAGTGGATCGTTTTACTTGACTCTTAGTAAACTTCGATCCAAGACTGAATGCATTCTGACAATCTCCGTTAAAAATTCTGAAATTTCTTATCCACTTTATTTCCTTTATCACCGCCGGGCGGTGATACGAAGACATTCTTGTCCGCCACCGTCCATTATTAGTCTTGACGCGAATAACTTGACAATTAGAGACAACGGATGTCCACATCGGCGAGCAACATACTTCCAAGTACTAACGACTAGGCAACTATCTTCAACTCGATCGTTATATTAACATGCGACTGAAAGATACTGCTAATTTGAGGAACGACTTACAAAAATCAGCGGGGTTATGATACGGTGGGCAATGAGCGCCTATGGATGCTAAATGAGACACCAAAGATCGCACCGGTCCTCTGTAAATGCAATGGCCTTCGGCCACCGCGTACAGGCAGTCAAACATCTCAAAGATCAGAGCACTGGGCTGATGTATCGTGCAGACAATGGTGCGCCTTTCCGTTCTCGCTAATCTCTGCAGAAGAGCGATGCACTGTATGCACGAAGCAGAATCGAGACCTGGAACAAAGATATTCTTTTACTCCCTTTCTTTCGCTTCACCGCGTAAGCTTCCGGTTTAAACCATCAACGTGAGATCTCCAAATGGAGCGTTATCCTTTTTTTCTCCGAATCTTTTCATCCCTACGAATCCGACTCATTGACGATAAGCGGCACGAAATTCCCAAATTGAACGCTGGGCCTTATCTCTCGAAATTCGACGCGAATTGAACCTTTCTCGAATAGTTCGAATCGACCAGGGTTCTCAAGTCAATATACGTATTTATAAGGACTTATCCATTAAATGCTAATTCATAAAAGAACAACGAAGACTTGTCTCTGGTCAAGCTCGATACCAAAGATGCAGTAAATGTATACTTAATCTTTGAAGGCCGGGTGAAAGTTACACCAGTTGAAATAACCCAGACAGCGCAACAACGACTAAAATATGTCTAAAAGATGATGAATTTTCCGAAAAGTCATATTTCGGTTATAGCATGTAGTCGACAAAAAGAAGAGAAGGGGATGTCTTATGCCGCGAATTGTGGCATCTTTCGGTCAAGACCAAAAGATGACGATTTGTCAAGATCGGAAGATGAGAAAATTCGTACATCTTTTCGTCGACTTCGGAGGGTAGCTTTCGATTTTCTCTCCCTCTTCCCGGCACAGACGGTTACCTCTTGACGTGGACTTGAAACGGTGGAATCAGTGGAATCAGTGGAATCAGTGGAATCTCCTTCCGAAGGGAAGGGAATGGAATGGCACAACGATTTGAGGGGATGCGAAAGTGGCATCCGAGGGCTCGATCGTTCGTGAACCAAACGAAACCTCTTCGACGCCACTTTCACCCCACCTTAAAAGTAAAGGCAAGGATCCGATTCACGAGTTCATACGGATTGCTTTCGCATACAAATAAATTCGCATGAAAAATGTTACATCGTTTCGACGTCAATTATCAACGTTTGAAAGTCGTATACGAAACTGCCAACTTCGCATACGGAAGTTGATCGTATGAACTCGAGAAACGGGTCCCAGTAATGGGACTTATATACGAACGAACTAATATCCGGAGCTATAAGCTTCCATTTTTTAAGAACGTTCAAACATAAAACTACATCTATACGAAATGGCGTTGATGCTGCCACCTTTCGCTTACTTTCATATATTTTATAGATAATTTTTCACTTCCTGCATTAGGCATCCATACGGAGACATCTTTTAGATATTTCTTCGTCATGTCGAAAAGACGACTCGAAAAGGATAGCTTTTCGTCATCTTTCCGGTACATGTGCTGTCTGGGAAGTTTTAAAATCTGTTTCTATAGTGCATAAATATAGGGTACAAATTCGGCAGAATTGAGTAGAATGTTTCACTTCGGCATCGCGTATCTACTGTACATAATAATTGGTGGCACAACTTATATGTGCTTCAAATTGGATTGAATCGATATTTATTATTAGTATGAAACGATGTTAGATAGTTACAACGACAGTTTGATACGTATCATCAATTTTGGAAAAATGCAAGATGATCAATGAGATGTGTTTTAAATACTTCGCGTTCGTAGGAATGACGATAACGAGTAATCATTGTCTGTATAATTACCAGTCGTGGGTTCATCGAGAAATAATACTGAAGGATTGCTAACCAACTCCAGAGCAATGTCAAGCCTCTTCTTTTGTCCCCCGGATAATTTTCCGCATAATGTGTCATAACAGTGACTCAAGCCGAGCATCTCTAATAATTCCAAGACCTGTGAATCAGAATGGTTAATACATAAACTCCTCGATGAACCTTGTTTTCTTTGTGTTAAAATTAAATTTGCTTTGTTACAAAGGCATTACTTCGTGATCAATGATCTTTGTATTTTTTTCTAATAAAGCGTTACATGACACATTATGTTGATCGATATGGTTTTAATGTCGCTGTACGCGTTGTCGTTCTAAAGGATTACAATAAATAGTTTTAATTGTACGTTGCCATAACTACTTCTCAAAATTTCCATAGAAGCATTTCAATTTGTCCGTAAAGATGTACCCTGCGCAATAGTTATGCAAAAAGTAAGTATCGTTTTTTTCGAGACGTTGCTAATTATATGGGACACCCGTTTGTAGAGACTAACTTGAGTGTGTTTGTACGCAGAAGTGTTCTCGTATCCGAGCTTCAAATGGGCAGCTAACGTCATGGCTTCTCCAACCGTAAGTCGTGGTCTCAATAAAGAATCTTGTTGAATGTAACACGAAGTTCTTCGCCAACTTTCGCTGTGAGGTGCTCGAACTTTGCCATTCACCATAATTTCTCCTGTCACTCCTTGAACCCTACCAAGGAAACAGCCGATAAATATTCTCCGGTTAACGAAACTGGTTAATTAAATAATGGGCCCGTAGGTTATCCACGAGCCAAGGTAAAGTATCCACGCAACGTTCCTTCGGTAGGGAAAAACGGGTGGAGATGATAATAGAACTTAAGCGGTACGTATGAAATATATTATACGACTCTTGAAACCGCGCAACTACGTGACCACGAGTTGCTTAATTGATTTTACCGCAAACAAGGTCTAAGGCAAAGAACTATTCACCCTGGAGTTCTTTTATAACTCGATAACGGGAAATAAAAGTATTGGGTAGTAAAACTATGTACCCCTAGATAAATATTTAATAATTGCGAGAGTATTTCCTCTCTTTTTTAAAGATCTAGATGGCAATTTTACTCACTACTTTGCAATAAACTATGTCAAAGTCAGAAGCGTGCAGGAACGCCCACTGGCGGTGCGCTCGAGGGGTATGATTTCGTTTCGTTTGGGATGCATTCAAAGAATTATGGTCCCTGACAACTGTGAAACGTCTCTGAACGAGAAAATGTCGAAAATGTCGAAAATGTTTAACGTTTACGACCGTTAGAGCTTCGAGCTCGTACGAGTGGTACCGGAACTCAGGTGCCGTTGGGTGTTTGCTAAAATAAGCAACAGGGTGAAGCCTACTATTCTTTTCGTGAAACGTAATGGCTCCATAGCCCTAAGAACTAGCATCGGTACGAACCTCCGTTGAAAGGCTAGGGTTAAAAATTAGGACTCCTTTTCAAGTCAGAATTTTTCTCCTTCGCGCGTTATCGCATTTAGGAAACCACTCCACTCTTCGCGAGGAGACAGCCAACCGATACAAGGGCGACAAAAATTTATAAATAAATTGTCAGCGATAAAACGCCCAGGCCAGTCAGGACAGAAATTGACCCAAATGTATCGGTGCTTCCGATATGACGGGGTTTACAAGAGCCATAGTTTTACGAGGGTTCGGACGACCTTCTCCTGCCTGTACTTAGGGGAACGTGAAAGTGGAGTCTTAGGGGTCAATCGTTCATGAAACATTTCTCCCAATTGGGTGTACCAATTTCTTTCAAATTTTACCACATCAATAAATAAGCCCTAAGGTAAGTCTTGAAACTCGCGTGATTTCATTTGTTATTAAAATTCTTGAAAATAGCTATAAACGTATTAACTTAAAATTGAAATTTCATGAGTTTCAGAACCTTCCTTGTAGCCTCCATATTCACATAGTCGAGTTTGAGACAATTCGATACACCCACTTCGGAGAAAATTTTAATGCTACTTTCACATCACCTTGAAAAACCCAAATGAGAGATATTTAGACTTATTCGGATGAAATGAAAATCCGGTCGAGACTCTCCGGAATGGCGGTGGAGGGTATTGAACATCGTCAATATTCACTCTAAGCCCTGGCAATACATATCTGATATTCAAACGGTTCGTTTTTCACGCCGAAGGGCATTGTCAAATATTCGTACTTTCCATTTCGATGAATTTTTACTATTCTCTTTCTGTACCGACAACGAAACAGGATATAACTGAACTAAGTTTATACATCTTGTGCAAGAAAGTGAATAAAGTAAGTAGCTGTAAAGGTATTTCTTACGGTTTTCAATTATTATCTCCTTATCGTTTACGTAATGACCGATACTGCAGTGAAATGAACTGATTGATATAAAAATACATCTTTAAAATACCACTCGATGACTACTATATTTACGTAGTTATTAGTAATATCGCATGTTGTTACCGAAAAAGGTAAGTAAAAAACCATGCAACGTGTAACCGAATGAATTGTACGGAATATTTTAATTAACTAATTTATAGTTGCACAAGAACATTACTCACGTGAAACCGGCTAAAACGTTCAATAAAGTAGATTTCCCTGCTCCAGAGGGTCCCATTATTGCTGTCAATTCACCGGCTTTGAAAGCCCCACTTACTCCGTGAAGGATTTCTTTGGTATCTGAAATAGTTGAATGAAATGACTGATAACTTGACTTTCATTACATACATATATTCTGTTTTTAATCAATCACGAGGCAGGGAAAAATGAATGCGACGCATGAGACTAGAATAAAAGCGTATTCATTGTGTTATTACGTATTATTCGCATATTCTCGTACGATATAACGAACTATAGGACAAATGTTGATATCGATGTGAAAAACAAGCAGATACGTGTTTTATAAAAACAATGTCATGTATAATGGATGTTTAAGTAGAACGTCATCCGTGATGCATGAAAGATCTCGTAAAGATGTTTCGTGGATCAAGTTAAGTACAACATGAATCATACGAAGAATATTACTTTCGGTATTTTCTTTGAAATTAAATTTTCCTAGAACTCGGAATGTGAAGTACGTATAAAACGCGCTGAAAAGAGGTAGATGCAGGAGAATTCCAGAATTAATTAGCTATTTTAAGTAGGGAATGTTATGTTATATAACACAAAGATATAAAAAGAAACGGCATTACAATGAAAATATGCTACTGCCGATTGCGTAAAATATTTTCATTCATCTTTTTTTATAATTTTTCACCATAAATGTTTAATAGACCGAATGAATCCGAAAAATTATTGCATTGATCATACTTTCGTTTATTTATTACACGATGTTACCGGTAGAGTACCGTTGTTACGTGGTTAACGAAATACCTTTAAGGCTCCTACGCCTTACAGCCGATTTTATTATCGCATTAAATTGTGCAACTAGTTAAGGAAATGGTTTGAGTAATATAGAAATAACATTACTTGATTTTAAAATTAAACCACTTGCTAAAATTGGGTCTGGAAAAATTTAGTTCTGACTTCTCTTTATCCGACACTGTAATGTTGCATTTCTAAAGTATTCAACATTGTTCGAGCTAGGTCCTGAAACTTTTCATTTTCGATTCTAAGCCTCCAAGAAGCGTCAAACAACGAAAACGTGCACGAACCACGCCGTGGTTGGTTCGAGTCCGTGATAAATAAATAAATTTTGCAGAGTTTCAGAACCTACTTTAGGGTGGTAAAATTTGAAACGAATCGGTACATCCAATTCGGAGAATACTTTGACGAACGATTGAATCTCTCGGTACACGTAGGCTGACCATTTAATATCATCTTAAGTTGTCTACAAGGTTAGCCCTGCTAGAAGGAACCAGTTAATTTTATTTACATTTTTTATATGCATCGTACACTAGGAACGTTACACTTAATTCTGTCTTTAAATGATACTCAACTTTACGAAAACTTTATGTAGAATATTTAATGCGTAAGTTGGCCGAGGAAATCCGTAAGAAAAAGTCATTTGTCAAACCGGACTTAAGTTCAAGGTTAAAGTCTGTTTCAAATTCAAGACTAAGATACAGTTTTAGACGGACCCTTACGTCACAGAAAATAAATGACTTGTTTGCGACTTCCATTACGGTAACCTCTTGTTGCACTCATGTCACGTCGATGTACGTGTAGTCACGACGTAACACTTTATCAAGGAAATGGTTAAGTAGTGGGAATTTAATGCTAAGCATGCGATGCTATGGTACCGATGATGTCAGTATCAAGGCACCTACGATCATCTTAATCTTTCTCCGAATTGCGAAGCTTTGCCCGCGTTGATGAAAACGGCACAATTTTTAAATTCCTTGGAGTCGATCGAACTACCAAGCCCGGTCAAAACGATTGGCTTCGGATGGCCCGTCACAGGTAAAACAAATCCCCCGGTAGTTCTAGGTGTAACCTCCGCTATGCATTCCGTTTGGGGAACGCGATCGATCGGCCGTGCTCCAAATGGTTGTTACAGGAAATTTATGCACATATTATGCAGGGAAAAATAGTACAGGATTTTTCGACTCCTCTTTCAACGAGGATAGCGCTATATAAACCGTCACTATCACTTCCGTTACACCCTGTCCACGTTTATGACAGATATCTTATATACGTACAATATATATCTTGTTCCGCATGGGTATAGGCATTGGCACCGTCGTTTACAATTTTACAATTACGCGTACTCTAACGCAACAAATATGTCACGATATGATATTTCCAGTAGTTATTGCAATTTATAATTTATATCTTTTTCGCTGAATAATTTTCCAATAGAATATTGACGCGATGTATAACGTGTATTTATTATTATTTGCATTACAGGTTCCTTCGACACTTGGAACGGAAGCCTTAGATTCGTCCTTTGTTAGGAACTTTGCAGAGGGACCCAACCTTTATAGTTTTGTCTTTATATTTTTCCATCAGAATTTCACTTTCGCAAGTCTTGCTTCCCTTCTCTTCTAGCCAACTCTTTGCGTACATACGAAGCAATACCTGTCAATGTCAAACTGCAATCTGTAGCGCGCTTTTCTTTCAAATGTTTCGCCAAGAAAATAGACGGATGGCGCTGTTTCCAGCATACGCGAAGCTTCCACTCCATCTAATCCTCTTTGACACGAATCCAGTGGGATTTTGCGTCTCGACAAAAGCGCAGGGTTGCGCAGTGACGCGTCATACGAGTAAAATACTTAAGGGAAGTATTTTACGGAAAATCCAAGTAAAATGTCTAATAAATTACACGACAACGATGGCGGGACTGTAACTTGACTTTTTCAAAGCGGTCAAAGTATACATCACTTGTAAATAAATATTTTAATAAAAAAAAAATAATAAAAATAATGACAAGTAGGAGTAAACCATTAAAAAGATCCAGGCTTCAACATTCCATTCAGTTTTCCATGCATTCGATGGAAGATTGCGTATTTTAAGCGTATTCGGAATGAGAACTGCAGAAACATAAAGACCCATGTGCATCTACTTTACATGACGTATAAAATTTGTTAAGTAAAATACGTAGTAATTTAATGTTAAAAAGGACATATATTACCTAGAGTATTTTGCTTATCCAACCCTGCAAGGACGCATCTTGCATTCTAGTCGATAAGAGTATCAGCCGATCACCGACGTTTTCAACTTACTTCAAATGGACTATACGACTGGTTAACGACGTCACATTACGTGGCGTTCGGATATAACTTAGACGATTTGATCTCGAATTCTGGCGTAAGAGATTTCTAAGTTAAACGAGATGACCCGAGCACCCTGGATGGCGGAATCTGCGGAGAGTGAGAACCCGAGGAGGGATTACTACAATTGAGCCGCGAGGGAGGGGCGAGGGTTCAGGTGTCGCGATAACGCACTTAGCGCCAGTGGGTCGTCGAACGCGAGGGGTGCTGACGTCGAGATTCTTCGCCACTTGTGAATGGTCGGCTACGCGTAAATCTAATCCGTTTCGCGATGCCGAGATTTCGAGCTCAGCTGTTCGAGGAGGGGGTTGAAAGTCTTATTCTACCCGGTTAACCGGGTTCACCGGATCTAGGCTTTGAATTCACGATGACGGTTAATGTTCGATTCGATCGGGGATGGGATTCGTGAAATAAGATGTTAAAATGAAAATGAAGATGGGCCGAGCTTGCGAAAGATCCTCTACTTGTCTCGAACCAAATTCTGGTTCCAACGATTCTGGCAATTTTTTTAACAAAAGCCTAATTTAGATAACCAACGATCCAATCGAGGTCGGGGGAACTGGGCATAAAACTATCGTTGCTCGATTCCCTCCTGTAATACCCCGGGTCATACGTTGCTTCTTGTACGTCATATTACGCGAGGTATGACCACGTGATTTATTTAACCGGATGAACTGCACGATGTGGAAATCGCGTTTCTTTAATTCTCAATATAATTCCTTCAAAACGCGTGGTTAGCATTTTCGATGAAATTGTAATTTTGCACTTTGTGCTCTCGTCCTTTCAAACTACTAAACTACCAGAGTATGTCCTGCTAAGGACGTAACCTCCGTAACCACGGAACGGGTGATACTTCATCGAAGTCATACGGACCCATAAGATTCGTTACTTTACCTGGTATCAAGTTGCGAATACTCCATAGTTTCACCCTGAAGCGAATATCTACGAAGGCTAGATTGATTTCCGGCCTCTTTGGAAAGGAATGTTTCTCTTGCTTGAAATAATTATTGTTCCTTATCGCACATGCAGTGCGAATGTCACTATGGCTGCTAGGATCACCTTGGCAGCAGCTCAAGGACGATTTGGACTGGGTAGAATGCGTGATAGTGCGCGTCGCCATTATATGACTCGTAAATCAGACCGTAATCTTCCAGTGGGCACACCTATGGATGAGTGGGCCTAACTCGTATAAAAAAAGCACATCACTGGGATCTCTTCGCAATTTTTTTCTTTCGATAATAGGGCTCTTCGGTAGGCCGAACGGTTCCTTGTTTTCCTTGCGGAGACGATTCTTGCGAGAAAACCTGGAACAAGAAAAATAAATTTAATAATGCGGTATTAAAATATACGAGGGTAATTGGGACGAATGGAACAGATCCAATTGAGATTTTAATACCTTTTAATCCTAACATCGAGATTCGATTTTTAACGCAAATCATTGATCGTGACTCTGGTTTATTCTACTTAAAGAACTAATTTTGAGTTTACCAACGAGTACTCCTAGCATCGTTATACGTGAAAACTTAGTCATCTCTATCGTAACGTGCACTTATTGAACGATGAATTTTCTGAGCGATACAGATTTCCAGCATAAGTTAAGTTTACGGTAGTCATTCACGGAATGTTTGATTTTCAACGCATGTAAAGCGTATGTAAAATTGCCAATTTCTGACCGGTACAGGATAGTATCTTTTACCTACTTTGCACATGCGTATTTCGAAAAAGATCTTTCTTGTACAGCTACGTCTGCACTCTTCAATTAATAATTATTTTCCTCGATGATTAGTCTCGTAAACCGTACTTTTGTCCAATATTGTTCCATGTAGAAATTTACCATCAGCGAAACATTGGCTCAATAGTGAAAATGGTTAGCGCAATCTTGATTGCCAAGCGTGGCCTACTGTGGAAATGATAACATCAGCGGATCCTTGCCCCAACTAATTTGCCTTTATTGGGCCAATATTTCTTAAAAATAGAAATACGCTAAGTAGAGCGATACCCCAATGCTGAGCCTAGATTGGGCCAATATTGGGTATTTATAGATTAAACAAATTAATTTTGTAATAATAACGTTTGTTATATTTGTGTAATAATGAGAATATTTTCACACGGTCTTATTTTAATTAGTGATACATTGTTAATTTATTCCCAAGGTATGGTGTGGTGCGTGCTAGACCTTCCCCCTTCTATCCTTCTTTTGCTTGGCTGTCGTTGGTAGTAGGGCACATCTTGGGGTAAAGTTGAGTATCGGCATCTAGAACGATAAACCAGCACAGCATTACGATTTTAATTTCGAAAACGGTGACGGGCCTTATGTACAAACTACTAACCATACCACTTGCGAGAAAGTCCGAAGCCACGGGTGCCATCTACCAATCCCGTTGGAACCAATGGTGGCAAATGCCAAGTAATACGGCAGTGAGCCGCAGTTTCCGAAGACGTGCTCGTTAAAAAAAGGTGAAACTTAGAACCGACCTGCTGACGCTACTCCGAAAAATAGGAATAAATTAAGGTCGGTTTGCAACATTTAAAAAGAAGAATGAATGCATACGAGGATGTCAAGAAATATCGAGCTATTTCACGACGAGATAAATGTAATACCGATTCTGAAAATAAACAGTTAACCAATGAAGAATGTGCCAATGATACCAGTGACCAATTTATAATGAAAAGAAACTTACCTTCGACGTTTTCGTGCACCTTATCGGACTTTTCTTGCTCCGAGGAATCAAACAATGTCGAAAATAATTATTGTAAGCCCCCCTGCAACTTTGACAGCCACGTTAAAGGGATAGTATGCAAGTGATAAAATAGGATCGTGGGCATTAAAGCACTTTAAAACTTTAAAACATGAAACAATTAGTGATCTACTTGTAGTTCTTAGAGAGCTCGGTCATATAAACCTCCCGAAAACAGCGAAAACATTGTCGGAAACTCCAATTTTGAACAAAAGAATATCCAAACATCGGTCGTTATTGGGCTGAGTGTACCGATGGTATTTTTAACATTAGGCCAAGATAATGCGGGGAGGCTCAATTATCAATATTGGCCCAATGTTGAAACCACGGTCAATATCGATGGAAGATCGAAATTTCTACAGCTAAGAATTAGTATTTTTAGAACGTTTAAATGTAAAAGCAAAATATAGGATATAAATAGTGGTTCATTAAGTACACAAATTCACGGCAATTCTGTACTTGGCAAGATTATCTAACATATTTTTTAGTAGAGATTACGTTACTTTGATGCATTTACTTATATGTACCGTTAAAATCATACCCGACACCGAAACTCGCCGTAATTCTTAATTTAATTACTGTTGCTGCAATCAGATTCTTATTTTAGCTTTAAAAACTGGACACAACGGAGGACACTTTTGGTAAGAATGGGAATGTACATCGAAGAAACGACCGGAAAGTGTAAAATTGAGTTTAAGACTGACCCGCTGCAGTCGTACATTACCATAGCCGGCACGTATGTGAATATCCGTCTTGAGGAAATATACATGAACAAACAGTCAAGGGTCACAAGCTATTGAAGATGTCCTCAAATGTATCGACACCACGGAAGGTAAACGACGGCTCGCTCGTTTTCTGGCTCTTTAAAATTAACCCGCTTTCAAATGAACGTACCAACGTTTCAATTTGTTACTAATTTCTTAATACCAGCGTAAATAGTTGTCTAAATTATTACAGGTAAATTAAAAGAATCATTTGCCGACTAATGCACGCTCATGCGCGGGTGTTGATACAAGTTCAATGGAAATATAACACACACATGCCATACCACATATCTCATACATACCAACATGACGTGAACTTCGTCGTAAAACCTACGAGGTGAAACACGTCGAGAAATGTTATCAACGTCGGTAAAATAGATTCTTATAAATACCTGCGTTCCCGACGTTCGTATTTATATCGACAGCTACGTCGAATCATATTGGATAATATACTAAATGGCATGCTTCGTATTTTGTTTCCGTTGTTATTTTGTTTACTTCACTAGGGCAATAAGGATTTTGTTCATGATTGCAATATTATTTACTAGGAACAACAAACTGTACATTGCTCATTTTATCGAGTGGTGACAATAACGTTTTATCGGCTATTGCTACAATTTTATTTGCTAATTTAGTAAGCATTTTTTCTAAAAGAAGTTCTGCTCCGGGTACATCTATGTTTCGTACAATTGCAAACATTTTGGCTATCGGTGCAATTATAACTTTGTTAGCAATACTGTCCTCTGTTATGAATTCAAACATTTTTTTTACGCGTGTTTTGAACCATTTTTAACCATGTCAAATTATCATTTTCTGTTTAGTCAAATCTCATGCTTGTCTCTTATTTTGCTTTTCATGGGTGGTTATTTCGAAAACGTGAATCGTTCAAACATTTCGTCTGTATACATTATATCCATAACGTTAATAATGAACAGTAATAAATAACACTTAACGAGTAGATTATGAAAAAGAAAAGAAATTTATTCTTTACGTCGCAGAATACCGAAGAGGTATAGCATTCAGATGTAGGGTATTATTAGAAGTTAAATAATGCATGTTCTACCAGGATCGGTTTTTTTCGCGAATCTTTAGATAAATATCGCCATTGGATGAAAACAATCAATCGAGTGCATTTAAATGATGCCTGAGTCGATATTATCAAGTAGTTGTACATTTTTATGTACATATTCCACTGTCAGCAAGAAATGAGATCAGGGACGAAACTTATAATCGAATTTTAAATCTTCCTTTACTCAATGACCCGAAATCATACTTGGACATAAGTTCTTTGTTATATAAAATATCGAAATCGACAATAACCAGAGAAAATATTTATCTCAGGAATTTTGGACAGGATTGAAACAAGACTACCGATAACCAGATATAACCTCACTTTTCCTTGGATCGAAATCGTAATTGGGTAGAAATTCATTAATATTTAACATATTAACCATTGGTAACCACCGAACTTTTCTCAGAAAGCTGAATCGACCTAATATCAAAACCGATAATCGGACTGTAATCCTTATCGTCGCAAAAATACTTTCGGTGTATAAAATTTGCGCCAAATGCGTCCTATTAAAAACGTCCATTTTTCTTGGTCTAACAAACATGAAATTACCGTGAGACGTTCATTGCGCTATGGGAAAGCTTCCACTGTCTCGATACGTTATTTTAAGTTTAAAGATAAAATTGATAACGTTTGTTCCAATTGCCCCGTATTACATATGACCTCGGTCTCCCCTAGTACAGTAATGATATTCTTCGAAAAAGTGTTTTCCACCACGATGACTTCATACACCATAAGCATCGTAGAACTGCCACGTTATTACATCCCTCGATCTAACGTTCCATTTTCGAAGATTCTCCAAATCCGAGGGTCTGGTCATCCGGGATTTTTAAATCATCCGATCTTACGTCCGTGTATCCAATTTTAAGCCACGAATAACGAAAAAGACGTATTTACGTATGCCGGAGAAGATAACCGATAGTCAGTTAGCGATTGTTAACATTTAATGTAAGTTCAAGTCATAATTAAGTAACAACGCCGTTCGGAAAATAACGCACATAATTTTATCATATCCTGAGCTGAAATACGTATAACGATTGGATTTTTCTTATCGTGTCTTTCGGTATAATCATTGGTATTAATTCTTTATTATCAGTCGTTGCTTCGCGTACAACCTCTTGACAGGGACCACTCCGTGAATCTATTAGAAGTATTCTTTGCCGGTATTAGGAAAAAATGCATTTTCTACCCAGTATGTGTATATCTAAAGTAGCGAATGCGAAAATACATATTATACATATTTGGGGACATTATCTGGGTGATTAGCAATAAAGGGAGGGGTTAGCTGCGAGGTCCTCCCATGTAATGCGCGAAAAATTGACATTCAAAGCGAATTTAACTACTTCCGGCAATCTAAATGTTTCTTGCCAAAGAAATAAAAAAAAAAGCACAAAATTGCTCTCAACTGGTGAAAATCTTAATAAACGTTATATTCTTTTCGGATAAAATGTTGTATTTAATTCAAACGAGAACACGCTAAATATCTCTTTTCATGAGATTTTTATCTCGTCTATCATAGATGGTTTAAGTTTTCTATACTTATCCTACTTTATACGTCCAGTACAAGTATACCGTGCTTCGCTGTACCTGAAAATGTATTATAATTTTCATAGTGGTTAAAAATGATGGTGCATGGTCATTGGCAAAGGCTAAGAACTGTTAAATATTTTATATGCATTAATAAATAAGAAATATTTTTAAATCAAAAGTGGATATATAAATCTCATCTATAA